TCTCATATTAAAGATGTGATCCCTAGTTTCTCTACCCTGTCTGAAACCCGCTTGTGCTTCATCTAGTTCATATTGTAATTTCCTTACAATCCTCTTCATGATTATTCGTAAAAAGATTTTGCTAGCATGATTTAATTATTAATGCGATTGTACGACTTCACAGTCAAATGAATAGTTTTAATACAAATAAATACAAAAACTTAAAATTACTCACTCAAGCAAATACTTGTGAATTAAATTTCCTTGCAAATACTTACTTATAAATCTAACACAAAGCAAATACTGATAAATTATGCATACTAGTAAATACTTATGAATTACTCACTCGAGCAAAAACTTATACATTGCAGTCACTAAAAAGTATTTATAAATTATATACTAGCAAATGCTTACAAATTACTGAAGCGGGCAAATGTCTATAAAATACACTCCAAAACAACTTATTATTAATAATTACCTCTAGCAAATACCTATATGCAACAAATACTATCAAATACTTATAAATTATGCGCATTACAATTGCGCACATACATATATTTATAAATTACTCACACGGGCCTAACATATTCAAAGCTTACCTCACACCTTCGAGAAAAGTTCTATCGCACAAAAGCATATTCTACCAGCTACACCCAAAATACGAACATATTTTTTTAGAAACACTCCAACATTAATGCAATTCTGTTCTCATTTTTAGACTGGAGCTCGGAAAAATTGTGGAATATAAATCTTGAGAGATGGGATGTTTCGCTGTGGATTGTGGGCTAGCACTGCGGTTGGATTGTGTTTTTGGCAGCAGTTCAAGATTGCTGGTCGAAAGCAGGCACAACAATGCAACTTCGGAGAGAGGTGGGTGAGAACGGAGGGAAAGGATGGAGAGATTCACAGCTAGCGAGAGACGCTGAGAAATAAAGATGGAGACGGGTAGATGGAGAGATTGTGCTGTAGATTTTGTTGAGGTATAATGTTGTGTTATCACTGCCGACGTTATTTTATATTGTGCATTTCCGTGAGTGGGAGTCACCGTGGTGTAGATGGTAAATGCTCACCTGCTGATAGGAAGGTTGTAGGTTCAGATCCTCACGGAGCGGATCTTTTTTTCTTTAAACGACCTCGGTTCCCAGGTCGACCAACCTTAAACGGGTAAATACTCTAACTACAAACCCTATTTTCTGGCTCTCGTTTTTATGTCTGTTTTTTTTTCTTTCTTTCACAGTGCAGGGTATTTACCTACCGGTATCTTCGCCTGCCTGTGTACACACTGACGTACATGCCTACCTACTTTCCATGGCTGTGTACACAGTTAAGTACATTGGTGTACTTGTGCAGAATTCGCGAATGCAAATGCTGGCTTTCGTGACTGACTGCTTGTGTACAGTGATGGGAAGTAAAGGCTGTCGGCGTTGACCACATTACCTACCGAATGTCGATAGATCCATACAATATAGCTTTAGCCCTATATGCCCAATGCTCACAAAAGGCGTCAAAAAGGCTCCTTTACTTTATTCCCATGAGTGATCCGTCCTCCGATGCAGCAGCCACTTTAGATACCTCTTCTCAACGTTCCCATGAGAAGGTGGGTTATAAATTAAGTGATGGAGAGAAATAGAGAAAGAAACTGGGTGACTGAGAGAGACAGAAAGAACGCGTTAGAGAAAGATAGAGGTATGGGGGGGGGGGGGAGGCCTCAAGGGACCCGACTGCCAGGTTCAGGGACCATGCGCCTCGCTGCACCATTTTCTTCAGTCCGTAGTGGTCTCTGCACTGTTTACTAGCTCCTACAGTGCGCTTCAAACATTTAGCTTTCAGTTTATTAACAAGTGGTGCAGAACCAGCCGGTACGTCCTGGTTCTGTACCAGACACCAGTGGCACCAAACCGTTACAGCGGGGTACATTAGGGTCATACCGAGTTAGCCGAATAAAAAAAAAATGTATGCACAATAATCGCACAGCAGTGAAATGCAACATCATTTTTATAGAGCAACAGTTCTCAACCTGCCAGTCGCGACCCTTCTTTGGGTCCAACGACCCTTTCACAGTGGTCGCCAAAGACCATCGGAAAACACATATTCATTGAAGTTATGACTGAAAATAATTGGGTGTCGCTACAACAGGAGGGAACTATTTTAAAGGGTCGCTGTATTAGGAAGGTTGAGAGCCAGTGTCACAGAGGCTACTAATTAAAAAAAAAAGACATCATTATTACATGGCATAGAAGGAATTCCAGAGAAATTTGACTAAAAAGCTCAACAAAATGGGAAAGAGTCGGCTCTGTGGCTAAGTCGTAATGCCGGGATGCAGGTTTGGATCCCAGCTTTGGGCCATGTGCCTTGCGTTGGTTTCGACAGTGGTATCAAGAAAGCCGACCGTCCAGGAGCAATGACAAACTACTGGACGTAAATTTGCCTAGAAAAACCACACAACAGCCTGGGGCTGTTGGGGTTGGTTCTGCAACGTCCTGTAAACGATACGTAACTAACCCATGTTGTATTCTGGTTATGAAAGGTGTCTGGAGGCTGATGGGAACCACGTTGAGCACCTGCAGCAACTGCCTACATCACATATAACTTGTATGCATCTCTTTGTGTCTGAATAACTTTAGTATCAACATGTTTATACATCTTGTTATTTTCAAACTCCATACAACACATTGCTACCGTAATGTATTTTAAGACCACAAATATCGTACTTGTAGATACATTTCACTGCTGGGTGATTACTTTGTATACATTATTTAGCTACCTTTGTTTGGTGTGTCGGCTTCTGTGGCTTAGGGGTTGCGAACGCGCTTCGTAATGCCGGGGTGCGGGGTTCTATCCCAGCTGCGGACGGTTTGTCTTTGCTTTGGTACCGAGAGTTGACCGTTCAAAGGGCAGTGGCAATTAAATGGACGTAAAACTTGCCTCAGAATATCTTGGACAAAGAAGATGAGAAATATTGACATCTTAAAAGATCTGAACATCAAGGAAGATTGGCTAATAAACAGCATGCTCTACTCCCATGTCACGCAGTCGTATTACTTTCAGAGATTCCTCGTTATCCATTAGCGTACAGCGTTGATGATATCTGCTCTGTCCATCTTCTTCTCTCATGCGTTGGTGCATTGCTTGCCAGTTAGTCCATTCGCTCATTACCCTTTACGCCAGCATGACCAGGTGTGTAGATCCAGGTAAGGGAGGTAAAGTGCGATTTTCGAATGCGTTCTAGCTATTTAAACAAGGAGTTTGACACAATTACCGTCTGTGTGGCTGTTTGCTCTGATGTCTATGCAAGTGCTCTAGAAGCAGCGGCGATTTTCATGATCACGCTTGTGTAGCTCTTGTGCAGGGGAAGTCTGAAAAATGTCATTCTCATAGAACTGTGGGGAGGGGAGGAGGGCACCTGGCTAATGTAGCCTATACGGTTCTCTGATATAACTTCACTGGAGGTTGAACTGGTTCTATGGAATCTGCTTTATTGGTCTGCCGTTCAGACTAAGATTTTTTTATAATCTGAGGGTGGTATGATAAACCTTTAAGTCAGTGGCTCTCAACCTTCCTAATGCCGCGATCCATTTTTACAGTTCCCTCATGTTGTGGCGAGTCCCAAACAATTAATTTCCCATATAACTTCAAAAAAATGTGTGTTTTCCGATGGTCTTATGAGACCCTCGTGAAAGGGTAGTTTGATCCACCACAAAAATGTCGCGACCCGCAGGTTGAGAACCGCTGCTTTAGGTAGCATCCCTGAGGGGAGAAACTGATCGATCGATCCGTGATTTGATCCTGTTGGGGTGGCATCCGAAATGTCGTGCGTCCAGCAACTGTGATATCAAACCTTCAGGATGAGGTCGTGGAATGGGCTATATCTGATCATTATTTCTACTTTCTTCCATCATGCAGGGACGTTCAGGCATCTAGAGCTCCCATATTTTTTTGTTCATTTTCACGACGGTGGGGGGGGGGGGGGGGGGGGGAGGAGGATAGGCTACAGTTTACATACAAATAAGCCAATTGTGTAAAACGGATGTGCACGCAAAACTCAAGATTCTGGAACAATGTCTAAAATCTGAATATGAACAAACAATGCCGGAGTTTACAGCTGGTGAATATTATGAGTATTATTATTATAGTGCTCTTAAAAAGGACAAAGTTCTTGAGGCCACCGTTCTAGAAAATTACAGTGTGGCTAAGACCCCCCTCCCCCTTCCACTCCACCCCATTTTTTTTTCTCCCCACAAATATTTCTTTGTGGCAGTGCCCCTGCCATTGTTATCAATTCTCGCAAGGAAATAAGACAATAAAAACCATCGGTACAATTTCAGTTTATTTATCGATGATTGCATGTGTTTTATTATGAGTTCGATATGTGTTGAAGAAGATGACATTCAGTGGATTTCTTCTCCATTCCGGAACTCTACACAACTCAATGTAGTCTCCCAACATGGCTGACTGCAGCCTTACTGCGCATGTCACAGCATCCAGGGGTCAGTAATGCGGTTCGGATGATTGTCGGGTGGTCATCAACTTCACAAATTCTGAAACAAAACATAATTAATTTTCTTTCAATACAACCCATTCTCTTTTCTCGGAATGAAAACGTAAATGCAAGACATCGCAGAAACCAAACAAGAGAGCTTGACACCTGTAACCTTTAGGAAAGTCGACCAGCACAACAAACTTTTGAATGAAAAGTGACCTACTCTGTTTAGGGAGAGTAATGTCGAACTAACCCAACTGTCTTTACGACACCTAATTACTCACCTTTTACGGCGTTGTAAGCCTAGAGTCTTTAGCATGGGGATTTAAGGAAGGCATCACCTTACTAGATTTTCATTTTACCGTGAATTTTTGTAGGTTGCGATGATGTATGGTTTATCTGAATTTTGAGGGAGAGAAGAGTTGTAGGGGGGAGGGGGGGGGGCAGATACTCATAAAGGACTGAGAGGGACAGAGAGGATGAAAAAAGGAAAAGGGCAACTCGTTTTAATTGTTTTGGCCTTTGAGATATACATTAGGCATCAGGCATGTGACAATTTACCAGCGAGTGACGTTGAAAACCCACTAGGACCGCCCACTAAGTGACGGTTTTTTAAAGAGTAGGAAATTATAGGGAAGAGAAAATGTGGGTAAGAAAAACAAACACTTTATGTAAGCTTTACGAAATAGATCACAATAAACTAACAAAAGACGTTGCGGGGATTAATCTTCATCAGCACATAAAGAATAACACAGTACACATACACAAATATGCTCTAACTATGAAGTGACTATATAGGACTGTAATGTACAAAATAAATCATATTCATCTGTGTCCCTGGCGAAAAACTTCGTTCAAGAGGATGACTAGGACAGGTACTAGCCTATATATCACCAACGCGCGGACTGAAAGCGAAAAACGGGGTCAGTATACCCGGGAAATGAGCGGAGTATACGCCAACATACACAACAGCGTACACTAAGTGTCTAAAGAGGGAGGGAGGAGTTGGCCAATATGGCGTAACCAGGGTTGGGTTGTGGGGATGACATTAGTCCATCCGCATGGAATAAAAGTGGTGCCTATGTGACGGCACGGGACTTGAGAAATTCCCGGGTGCGTATCACAGAAACCTCCTTTAACCGTAAAGTTGTTTTAAGGACAATCAAACTCTGCTCGTCTTTGGTAGGGTCCCGTTTTAACTAGGAGAGTATTTTAAGGTGTGCACCGGCGATAACTCGGGAAAAAAAGCCATTTGCTCTGGTTCATAAAAATCTGGGACTTAGTTCGAAAACAGCATTCCTAGGTACAACTGATCATCTGCCATACTCACTAGACATATTCTGAGCTCAGACAGAATAAAACATATTGTTAAAACTGTCGCATGCTTGAAAAATTATCGTGCATGTCCCACACTTTGACTGACTGACGGCTACTGACTCAGTTCAAACTACAACGGGATTTGTCCCACAATCTCTCGCCAAAACCTATGGTTCACAATTCACCTGTGTTGTCATTTCACACCGATCCCACCATTTCCGAAATGGACGGTGGTGACATGTCGGCAAGCCAGTCATAAACTTCAAGCGACACGTCTTCTGTGACTCTTAACTCTTTCAGTACCGATCAACTCGCCATGCGTTTACTGATACTCAGTACGGGGTATACATTTCTTGAACCGGTCCAGTCAGTTCTTCTATAACATTGGTTCTTTTTTTTTTTTTTTTTTTTTTTTTTTCAGTTGTTATTTTAACTTTTCTGTCTCATTGTTATGTTAGGTAATCTTCTTTAAACGTCAAAACTAGCACTATAAAGTTCACACACTTTACAACGGACAGCATTAAAGCAACAAACGTCTGGGACTGAAGGAGTTAAGTGGCTCACGCTTCACTCACTTCCAGTGGCCCCGAATGTTTATTTTACAAACCGCCAACACAACACGAATGCCCGTGTGTACCCATGCTTCACAAATCTTAGGCTTTATAACTCTTTACATCCCCACAGTGACTTTCGGATCCAACAGAAATCCCATTTTCACCTCAAGATGTTATGGTCACCCTACTCTTTGATGAACGTCAAAAGTGGGCCGGCAATCTGTAAACTGTCATTACAACGCAACAGTGCTCGTCTGTGCCA